CCCCAAAACCCCAAAACCCCAAAACCCCAAAACCCCTAGATAATATTATTTTATTGATATTTCGTATACATGAATCAATCGAATAGGTTGACATCAGATAATGCCAGGTAAGATATGTAGTCATTTTTGAAGATCATTAGGGTTTGGGACTGGCTTATTCACCCTTGGTTCTTAGTTTAAGACTTGTGTCATGAGGTGATGGGAATTTATAGTAGAAGATTGAAGCCCTCGAATAAGTATATCGATTACTTTGGCACACAGACATCTTTTTATAAGACTAAGGGAGATCATTTTAAGCCAAATTTGAAGTTGAGTAGTGATTTTGGCCTCTTGTGTAAGATTTTAGAGATGTAATGTGTAGCGCAGAGCAATTTCTATAGTCAAGAAACTTTCACAAGTAAGTTGCTGTTCTGTTGGTGAGTCTTATGATCGGTCTTTATGGTTTTTGTGGGTTAATCTAGGATTTTAGAGGTTTATCACAACCAAGAAATCCATAGTCTTAAACATCGGCACAAGTGGCTAAAGCAACGCAAATCAAAATATCAGTTAACTAAGAAAAATGGTAATTCATAATTGATGAAATTAAAAAACATTGCATAGGGAATTCAGGATTTTCCTTGAGAAATTCTGTCAGATGCCCATTGCCGTGCATCAAAACTCCTTCGCCTATAAATATATTCTCTGAGAGGCTGGGCACAAGAGGTGAAAGCTCTCTGACAAGGTTCAAGAAATATGCGAAGCCAACAAGGTACTTTACACTATATATCTCTAGGCATAGGAATTATAAACGTAAAAAGCTTCATAATCACAAAAGCAACCTTGAGTTAATCAAAAGTTGCGAATTAAGCCAAGGTAGTGTAAATTCTGTAAATCTTTTGTATTCCAGACTATTCCAAGCATGCTTTCTCACCACAAAGATTGAAAAAGAGAGAGATGAGTATTTCCAAAGCTATTCTTCAACATGAGCAACTGAAATTAATCAACCAGTCCATGGACTCAAAGTATGGGCACCAATCTGAGCTCTAGGATAAATATGGCAAAGAGGTTCATGAAGAAGTACAGCATCAAGTTGACTGAGAAGGAGCTGTATTCTTTGAAAATCAATGAAATCACAAAAAGGCTCATAAAGAGGAAGATCAAGAAGGTTACAAATGAGATGGCAATCCGGATCCAGAAAGTGTTCCGAGGCTTCCTAGGTACCATTCTCAACTAAATTCTTTCCATAGGGCGCAAGATTTACAAGAAAAAGAAATGTTAGCTCCTGCTGGTAATCCCTATAGATATTCTGGATCATACAGTGAGGAAGTTACAGAAATGATGGCGATACTATCGAATCTTTACACTTGTTCCAAAAACTTTGAGATTCCGCAAACGTAGAGCTCTAATTAGAATTCAAAAATTTCTGAGAGGGTATCGGGATTACAAATAAAATCAAAGAACAACTCTCAGAGAGACGAATGGAGAATAATTTTGAGTATTTTTCTAAAATGAGAGAGAAAATCGAAGAAGATAGCGCTATATTCATCCAATACAGATCGAAGAAGTTCCTCAATGATATGAAGAAAAGGAAAGAACTCTCTGTAATCACCATGTTGAGGAAGAAGAGTAAAGTACCTAGAATGGTAAGCCCATGCTGTCATTTTCATAGTCGGGCAAAAAGAGTGGAATGCCTCTAATGTAAGCTCCAGCAGTAATGATCATTATACAGGCATGGAAATACACTAATGAATTCCCCACTTAAGGAGGATAGGCTCAAAGTGACTCACAAGAAGAACAGTAAGTCCAAAAAAATCAAAAGACGACGGATCAGTGCGAAGAAGGTAACTGTTCTCTCTTTCAATTAAATATAATTGAATTGGGGTTTTGGGGTTTTGGGGTTTTGGGGTTTTGGGG